TACTAATTGAGTGCTTCTCCTCCTCAACAATGGTAAAAACTCATGACTTTTTAGTTTTTGTTCCTATAACACTATCAACATCAATCTCCGATCTTCTATGTCGTCTACGTTCATTAGATTAGATTATTAACAATTCCTCCTGCAATGCCCATAATTGTCACAATCTACAAGCACAAACATCATTAGCATGCAATGTTTTAAACAAACAATCTTTATCAGCATAAAGTAAGTGACATCTTAGGGGATGAAAGAGGCGCCTTCATATGCTCCGTCACTTTCTTCTTCCATATTTTTAAGAGTTTACAGGTATGGTTTAATGGAAATGGAAAATTTTTAAATTTTGTTGGCAGTTATAAACAAGGGAGCGTAACTATAATACCGTAAATAGCCTACCTTACTTTTTCATAGTTTTTTTGTAATAAAAAGCATCAATTCAATTTCGAAATTGATTCAGATCGGTCGATATTGGAAAAAATAGTATAAAGTAACACTGGATTAAACTAGTTTTTTGTTCCCTCAAGAAGCCTCGGGCTTTAAACCATTCTGTCAGGAACAAAAACTCCCTTGTTACTTAAAGGGGCAGTATACCCAAATTTCATGTTTTCGTCTAAAGATAGATTAAAAATATCTAAGAGTAACGTTGAAAACCGCAAGTCGCTACGCCGTTTCGTTATTATAAATGGCAAGGTTTTTAATGTAAAAAAGGTCGTTGTGACGTCATCCCGACAAATGGGTCGGTGGCGCGCTATAACAATATAATTATGGATTAGATGACGTTTGACGTGTTAATTTGAGACTGGTAGTCAGTGATCTGCATTATTTCCAAAAATGCTTAAATTTGTGTTTTCCGCTGCAACAATAATGTAACGTGATTTATAAATTCGGGTTCGATTTATATCAATATTTATTAAACAAAACTAAAACACTATAAAAACCGTACAATTTATATCGATTATTTATATCACACACTTCGCAATTTACATCAGATTTTCGCGCTCAATGTTTCATACGTACTCGATCTCGTTCGATAGTAAAACTCCCGCGACGTTCGGTCCGCAACCATTTATACACGCAAGCAATGTAAGTCCAGAACATTCGCGTAGTTACCGGAATATTCCTATACAAATCCCACTATCGCGCGAGTAGAAAATTCCAGAGCGCCAAAGGCGACGTCATGTCTGGAGCGTTTCCGTTACAATAATTTGAAAAATGCCAATGTTACATTGCAAATTTTCCCCGAGAAAAGCAGGAGCCGTGTCGAAATAAAGTCTGGAAAAGTAGAAAAAACCGCTGAATCATAGTATAGTCACGTCGTTTGCAGTGCCCACTTTAAAGATGATATTTTTTTGTGGAAGATACAAAAAGGAAAGGACCTTGTGCCTCAGCATAAAGTTTTGAGAAGGCTCAATACTGCAATCCCTTCTTTACATCTCACAACAAAGGTCCTAATAAAGCTATAAAACGTCAGTCAACTTATCTAAGAAAGTAAAATTGTGTCTGATTGCTTATTGTGGGTAAACGATCAACTTCGTAGTGGAGAAACCAGTTCAACATCAAACATATGCCACCATCAAACAGAAGAACTGAATCAAATAGAACCAATACCGCTTACTGAAAGCATAGGTATCCAATCTCAGCTGGGTACAGAAATTTATTACAAATATTCAAATTCATATGAGGATATATGTTCGGATGATCCATCAGTAAGGTTTTCTTGTTTTTTTCAAAGAAAAGCGAACTAGAATATGAAAGAACTGACGCGTTTGGACTGCTTGGATCCGTGCCGCCGCACCTACGATGTCGGGATGACGTCACACACATGTTCTGTTTTTCAAACTTCCATCGTTAATAATTTGAAAACTACTCATCGTAGAAAACTCCGGTTTGAAATTTTGTAACGAGTGGTTTGATTTCGCGCCAAATTTCATTAAAAATTTCGAAATTTCTTGTCATGATAGAGAAGGTCGCCCTGTATATTTCATTATTTGTTCCGGTTAGAAATTTTGTGTTTGGGCATTTCGGTTCGCTCAAGACTATGGTCCGATAGATTTAATTTCGCTCAGATTTAATTTCGTCGTGGGAAGAGTGCAAAGCTGATTGACGTCATCATGAGTAATGCGAGTTTTTTGTCGTTCGTTTATCAACTTTGGCGCCGTCTAGACCGAGAATAGGAGCGGATATAGCACCGAGCCATCAAGAGATAAGGAGTTTTCACGTCGTCAGCAGAAAACCGTGAGATCAGTTTATTCAGCAGTTCCTGGAGGTTGACGACGAAGTTAGAGTGGGTTAAGTCTTCTTTATCTAAACCAATGGGAGAATTTCTAGCGGGAGCCATTTTTGTTTTATGGTAATTTGGGTGTGGTTTTTTCATTTCAATTCTGAAGAAGGGGATCGTTTTAGAAGAGACTCGCGGTGAGTACGTCGAGGGGTCAACATGTACTTTGAGTGATCGCGTTTTGGAGACTCGCGGTTAGTACGTCGAGGGGTCAACACGTACTTTGAGTGATCGCGTTTTAGAAGAGACTCGCAGTTAGTACGTCAAGCGGTCAACACGTACCTTGAGCGATCGTTTTGGTACACTTGGCGGTTTGAGCCACCGGCTTATTTCGGTTGCTCGCAGTTGCGTGCTTTTTGCACCCGTTTCGAAGTGTTATTTTCTTTTCGCGTTGATTTTTTGGCGAAGAAGACCCAGGTTCCAATCAGGTGATATTTTGGCGAACCCTTGAGCTTCACCCCAGTTTACTTTGGATGCAGTGAATCGCGTTAGGATACGTTGTGATTTCTCGAGGATATATAAGTCAAAGTGCTGCCCTAGTCCTCAAGGCGCAGAATTTCGGGATCCGCCCCAGGTGGAATTTCCTACTAGTGCCGTACGGTCATTTGTCGAAGGAGCGCTGCGTTTCGGAGAGATATTTGCCCCAAGAAGAGCTGGTGAAATAATACGTCGAACCATCGCGGTTTACCGTCGGATAGTGATCATAAAAGTTTGTGTTCTGCCGTACCGCTAACTCAAAAATCCGTCTCCCGCAGGCGGTCAAAGCTAATAAACTAATAAAATAAAATTAAATACACGTGCTGTGTAGAAACTTTGGCAACTAGCCGTCTCCCACTCGCCACGCGAAGGATTTCCTGGACTAAGTTTCAGTTCAAACGCTAAACTTTGCTTTCGTTCCGAGGAAGGATAGACCCAGGTGTACCAGAGGAAAGAGCAGTTCACAAGATCGGCTGTACAAATGTTGTAAAGGTTAGTCTAATTAAATTTGTAACATTCTGTAAAATTCCACTTTTTGGTAATTAAGCTATAGTAAAAAATTTTTGATTTGATTGTTTATTAAAGTCCAATGAACGATTACCAAAGAGTAGGATAAATTTTTGTGTTTATTTAAATAAGTCCCAGCCCACGCTGGATTAAAAAAACCGATTACCTGTTGTTGCAATTTTCAAACTGTAGAGGATGGCCACCCCTTGAGTAAATTAGTTTCACCTGATAGGATTTTTTATTTAGTTTAGTTGTCATTGTTAAGCTAGTGGTTTTTACCAGGAGGAGAGAAGAACTGCTAGATCCCTGTAAATTGTTTGTATCTCTAATATCATTTAAATATATTATCTATTTGGTTCCAATGTGCCTATGTCTTTAACGAAGAACGAGGGGAAGGAAAGGGAGGAGTAGGAGTTGAGGCAGGAGATTGGTAGGCGGCAGGTCAAGGTTTGTTACGCAGTTTCAAAAGAGTTAAAAGCCCACCGATTTGAGTTAGCCGGAGCATTTATTTTTATCGATTGAGCAGCCTAAGAAGAAGACGGTTTGCCTTGCCGGGCGGAACCGATGGTAATCTTCAAATCCAGAAGGAACCCCCGTAGCAATTTTGTTCTTAGATTTTCTTCTACAATTTTTTGATTTTGGGTATACTACCCCTTTAAACTATTATCGCTTTCGCACACTTGATAGAACAGTGTTTTAGTGATTTAAATTTAAATTTCACTTTGTCGTTTTGTAAATAAATATAAATAAATAAATACCTACCTATAGGCACCGATTAACTACTAATACGTACCTAATACTTAGTTGTTTTTGTATCTTCCATTCGCTTCGCTTGTCCATAATGTGGATTAAAAATCTTCTAAATTAAAGCTTTAATTAACAAAATAATGGCATTTAAAGATGTTTGTTCAGACTTCAGACATCAAAATCTCAATAATTCTTTAAAGGGATGATCTGTAGGTATACCTACCGTTCGTGTAGCTAGAAAGCCTACAACGAGTTTCTCTTTGTCTTACAATTATTTTTCATGTTTTACAAAAACAGAAGTCTCGAAAAACTGCTACTTAAATTACCTAGTCGTCAATAACTTTGTGATGACAGTTTGTAGTTTAGCTGTATACCTATACCGGACACTAATTGACATGCATTTATTTCGTATTTATAACCGAATAAAGATGTTTATCCAATCTAAATTGTAGGTATCTTGTATCAATGTATATATGAGAAGCGAAGGTGATAATTAAAAATGGCACATGCAGGAGGGCTATTGGCGCTTAGGTACTTGAACAATTGACCAAAAGCATCAGGAAAGTAAGTTGAAATAGTAGACCTGCCGAACAAGAACGCATTAATTATATGGAAAGTGGGTATTCTGATTTACTCTAACCACTGATCTGCAATGGCAATATGCAAGTGCAAACATTAAATACGGAATTAAAGCATCGTGAATGAGCTACATCCTGTATTGTTAACCAATTAGGATACAGTTTAGGGCTTCTAAGTTTTAAAGCTGTTTAATCGTCTGCTACTACAATTACATTTTATGTGAAACCGAAGGGATGTCAACTCCGGGCGTCGGTTGGATAGCGTCGGTGCCGCCTTCATAATTCCCGCCCACATCCACGTTTTTAGAATCCTGATGTGGTCATCAGTTTACAGTCAAGTTTCACAATAATTTTTATTTAGATATTTATCGTAGATTACCGCGGATAATTCCACGGCTGCAATAGTTAACGAACTCGCGAGTGTTAGGTGTACCTCAATGTCAACCCCCCAAAAGATCACACGACCGTCATCTCCTAGGGAGTTTTTCGCACGATTATATGGACATTTGGAAACATCCAAGGAGGAAATATCGGATAAGAACAATCAAGATTCAACTTCGTTACCACGGCCATGTTCCAGTATTGTCACTCCAATGCCGCTCATGGCCGCACCGCTTCCTTTTCTGTTACCTCCAGGAAACGAAGCACATTTAACGGCGGCTGCTGCTGCAGGATTGACAGCTTTCCGTAAGTTTTTCAGTAGTTTTTATGTAGGTAAATTCATCTTGCGACACATTTTACCTAGACTTGCCTTGTCCGTGAGATGAGAATTCAATTCAATTTGAACAGTGTGGGATTTAAATAAACATTATTTTTTAAGTTAAAGTACTTAATAATTTGCATAATTTGCTTTGTAGCAAGGATAAAATTGTAATTTCTTTGAATTAAAAGTATTTGAAACAATGCGCTGAGAAAGCTTTTGGATATATGTAGTTCGATTCGACTGTCTTGCTAAAAATTATTATTGTAACTCGGTACCCGGTGTACCTAATATTTTTAACGTAATAGCATTAAATCCATCCGATGTAAATTAAAGTTTACGTCTTCGTGCGTTTGTGGGTGGTTTAATGTTCATCCCAAGAAAGAAAGTGTTGTTATTTTTGCCTTCTTGTCCCACACTGGTGCATTCTCTCCACAGACAAAAGAATGCGATATGGACCGCACATACAAATTTACAAACATTTTTATTTATTTATTTATTTATTTATTTATTTATTTATTTATTTATTTATTTATTTAATGATTTAATGCCCAACAGTTTACACCAATTATAGGACCTAATATGAAATAATATAATATAAGAAAAAAGAACAAACTTTAAGTTTATAAAATATTTATTTATATAGATATAGACGCATTTGGATTATTCGTTTCACCTATAAATCAGCGCAAGTCCGGCTCATTAGATACCTAAGTATATTGGGACTAATATAAACTGTGCATAATTCATGTGCACATAAAGTGTATTTTTTGCGCGAATTTCACTATTTATCGGTTATCACTTCGTCATCGATCTTATAGAACTGAAATTAAACACAATTCAGTTTGGTTATGTAGCAAACATAAAGCTTCTAAACCTAAAGAGTTCTCGAATCAGCATATTTTTCATGGGAAAAATGCTTCACACACATTTCCATTCTTTATCGCCGGTGATGGCTTCTCGATATCTCTCTAGAAAATTCGCTACAATATCTATTAACGCATTTATTTAATGACTTTTTTGTTTAGTACCGTTTTGGTTTAGGTATATAAATTTGCCATATAGCCCATATAGTCAAGTAGGAAAATCAGAAAGAATTTTAGAACTAAAAACTATATGCCTATATCTTCAGATTCTAAAAATCTTCCCCAAAACTGTCAAAAATTTAAATGCGTCTCTCCAAGTAAAACAATTTCATGTTCTTTTCAAATTCCGCCTCCACTTCCTTAACAAAAAGAAATGCACATTTTTTTCTTCGACGTGGAAGGTTTGGAATTCTTACGGCTAATTATACGTCTATTTAGGCGGCACGAGTAATGAATTTGAATATTATCTGGGTTTACTAACAGTTTTCTTGGTTGTAATTGCGGGTTCCACATGAAATAAATCCAACTCCTTTTTACTCTATTGCACTGCGCCAATACGCGGTAAAGTATTTTTAAGGAAAGCGCTGATGACCGCATTTATTTACAAGGACGGTCTGTGTTATTTTCGAACTGAACTCGACACGATTACGAGTGTTTTTTTCTAACTCTCACACTGGAATGCGTATTGCGGAACTATAATGGACTTTTTCACATTACTCCAAAATGATACTTGGGGCTTAATCATTACGTAATTTTTCCACTGAGGAAAATGATGATCTTCCAAAAAACCAACTGGTCAAAAAATGAAAACTAACGGCCGCTTTGAACACAAGTTAACTGTTTTGTATAAGCTCGGTTACTTCCGAAAGCCAATTTAAATGATCTAGGCTCAATGGAAACGCTTATTACTTCTATCTAGCGCCACTGCCACTAATTGAATCGTTCGCCTTGACTCTTGCAACACCAAAACGAGAAGTCGGTCTAACCAGGTTGACTACTCAAACCAGAATGCCTAATTTCGTGCATAATAATCCCCTCTGTGAATACTAAGTTAACTTTTTAACCCCTATTGAATGGTGGAATAATAATAGCGGAGATATGCTATTAATTTTCATTGGTTTACCTGCTTTCGGGGCTGCCTACAGAAATGCTGACTCTACGCAAACTCAAACTTGTTTTTCCCCAAGGAATACTTAATTCGCAACGTAGTGTATGTAACTCAATATGACCTGTTTTTAGCGTGTAAATAAACACTAAATCCCAACAATGGGGCGACAGATACAACTTAGAACAATTAACTCATTGATAAACTTGACGAAGATGACTAAAAAAGCTCACTGGATTACAATCGACAATATGATAACTTAAAATTAACATACGGAATATTTGTTTGGTTGAATGTCCTTTGGACCTTCACTCTTCACTCTTTTTTAAACTTTCGATACAGCCTCATATATCTATGTGCGTTTAGAACAAGTATTCCACATCCTTAATTGTTCCGACTGGCGATATGACCTCAAAGATCTTATGCGTTACAGAAACCGGCAGCTAAGAAGGCGAGAGCGGGATATGCGTAGATGAGCAGGAGGAACCAGGGGCGCTCAATAGCACACCAATAGATGAAATGAATAAATAATTAAGGGTGGGGATGCGTCATCTCTCGCCTACTTAGTTGTCGGTTCCTGTATTTTTGTAATCAATTATCAAACATGATGCGGTGCGGTTGATTGCGAGTGATGCGACACTTCTAGGATCGGTTGGACAACGACAGTTTAGCCAGCTTCAGATGACCGACTAAATAGAGAAATAATTAAGCATTGTCTCATCAGATCTGAGGTCATAATTAGTATTAATAGATTCTAAATTAGAGCTAGACACCACAAAAATGTATTTTAGAAACTATTGCTCAAAGTAGGCATAATGTTGTACGTAAGACATAGGTAACACGCTTCATTTTTTGGTTAATATGTGTTACACCTTCCTGACTTGTTGCAGAAAATCACACTCATTAAACAGAATCAGTCATTTTAAAATTAATTGTGGTTTTATAGCTATTGATATCTTTTTAGGACAAAAGCTGAAATCTGCTATTATTCGTATAGGCGCGTCGGCGTCGCCCGCCATGGGGGAAGGAACGTCATTAATTTCATTGAATCGAATTAATTCAAAGTTTCATTAAATACAAATTAAGAAGACCTCGCAATTATATCAAACTACTGTTGTAGATGAATTTACATTCTGTCACATAGTCAATAAATGGAAGACAATAAAGAAGTTTCCAATGTGATAATTATTGTAACCACCGAAAGCGTCATTTTCTCACAAGTAGGTACCTACTTACTGCAATTCTATAACAAAGGATTTTATTCGAGCTCTCTGCGTGCTCTCAGCCAACAACAGAATCCGCGGAATAAGTCCAACACAATATGAAATGTAAAATATTATTATGATGAGATTACATCTGTACAGTTGAACAAGTCTAAATACTCGTCATCAAATTCAGGTGGGGGTGAGATATAAGACATGTGTTTTAAACAACCCTCCCACATACCTTGCGTGATTAGCGATTATTTCAAGAGCATACTTAAATTACTTTATAAACTGGAATGTTAGGATCTTTATCTATTAATTATAATTTAGGCCATTGAGAAATAATTAATTACTGTATCCCTTATTTAAATTTTATTATTACTGACACGGAACACAATAATTCAACTACCTCTTTATTACATGGAAGCTTTTGTCAATCTATAACTTCAAGCAAGCAAATTAAAAATGAAATTGTCTGGTATACTGCGTACAATCGTACGACTTTAGGTACTCAATCGACGTATATAAATAAACCACCTTAAAGAAGTGCAAAAAAGATGTTGAAAGTGATCGCGTCTCATAATTCCAAAAAAAATTTACTATATAAATACAGAATCGGATTTGTTGAACGAAAAATAGATATTACCCACGGTATTGTTAGCGTCGCACCATCCATCACAAAGCTCTATAATATGTAATCCTATTACAGATTAAATAAACACAAAATAAATATAAAATATTCTCTACATAAGCCGTTATAAATCGGCACATTATAACGTATCCTGTATCCATATTCAATAATAAAGTAAAACGTCTATCTAATCGCAAAATATTGCTGTGTGCATTGCCGTGCGGTCACTACGCCACCCACATTCAACTACCCCAAAACAAATCAAAATTGAAACTTTTAGAACTTTTTAATCTCTCCTCATACACATCCGGCATCTGCTAGAAGAAAAATCTTAATATGGACTTAACATTTTGACGAGCATTTTGACATTTGAGAGCTTTTTGATTAACATCTTGGGCACGAGTAGAAAAATCTGACATGGAGACTCTATCTGGATCGCATAAAGGATTCGAATGAACACAAAATTATTATTATTATATTAATTCGGGAAACGGTAAAACCGTTTTAAAAACTGTCCACAACCTTTTACCACTTCATTTGACTTTTTTCGAAACCGACAAACTGCATCTTCAACAAAACAACTATGGCAGATTGCCCGAGATTTAACGTAAATAAATTTACACGCTTTTCAACCGTCGCGGAACTCGCAGCAGCAGCCTCGTTTTTACGTCAATCCATTGAATAACGGTTAATTTATCAGATCAACTCCTACCTCAGGATTTTCAAAAACTTATAGCCGAGAGCTAATTATATAGTATACCGACGTTTCATCTTATTTTAATAGTAGGTACCTAATTAAAAATTCAAGAACCGAAAGTTTCATATCCATTTGATGAATGGGTTGGTGTATGTTGTTATTGTTGTTTTTAGTTTAGACTTTTGGGTAATTTTTAGTTTTAGGATAGATGATCTTATATCTAAATTGTTTCAAAGTACATATTAAACCGGTGGTATACCTATGTATATATGAGAAATGTAAACAGATTAAGATTTCGTATAGGAAGTAAGTAAGGGTTGTTCACGTATTCATTTAATGTGGATAATTAAAAATTAGGCATCTGAAAGCTTTACATGACATATGGCGCGAGGAAGGGCTTCTCGTTTCCGTCAATCACAGCACATGACGGTATTGTCTACTCCATCATATACGTGAGTATTAATAGGTAGGTAGTCGGTAGGTAATGTGCTTGATTGCAACATTCGGACGTTCGCACGCCAGAATCCAGCAACCCCTCTTTGTCATTGCCATAACGAATCAGCCATAATTCCTAATTTTTGCATTTCCTGTATTTCTTCAATGTAATATAGGTTACTGTCTGCGATTCATATTATGCACTTAATTGATTATTCCGCACTGATGGTCTTGATATTAAATTTTCACGATTACTTGAACTAATTCACGATTGTTAGGTACCTATTTAAGGATTAGTTCTCTAACCAGTTACATACGTAATGTAATTAGAATATTATCTATGGAGCAGATCCTCATGACAATATAAAATTGGCCCATATTTATATTTAAAACGATTGCAGTCTAAACAAGTTTAAGTTAAAAAGCCATTATGCAAACATAAATGATGAGAGCGTATTTTCCTCCTAATAATATTACCTAATGCTAGGACCAGGCAAAAATACCGGTAGGCACGAGATCCTTACCCCATTCTCTTTCTAATGAGCCGCCTATCGTCGAAAAATAGTGGAGCGTATATAAATACAAACAAATTTTGAAATGGGCATTAGTTTTAGTTTTATTCGAAGTATTTACATATCAAACTTTTTTTAATGCTTTCGTAAGCATTGCGCATTGTCTACATTAGAAATTTCATGGAATACCTTCATAAATAAGACATACAGCATGCGTAAACAGTAGGTAATTTTGAAACCGGTATTAGTTTTAGTTTGATTCAAAGTGCCTACATATGAATAAATAAGAAAGTTGCATTGCGCATATAGAAAACCAAATTTTAAAACTGGTGTTATATTTGCTTGTGTTCCAAGTGCCTATGTATTAAATTTAATTTAAATGTTTCCATAAATAAGGACACTGTACACTGTAAAATACCTGTCCAGCTACCTCAAAACAACCTTTAAATTTAGAATTGTATGTATTTATTTCCGTCGTAGACGTACGGGTGTCAATGAAAAATCTCAGTAGCCTCGATTCACTTTCGAAAATGCCAAATAATTAACTATACAAATTTTCATGAGCACCCGACATAATTCTTGGGCACGAATACAAAAATCTGACATGAATACTCTGTCTGGGTCGCACTTTGGGTTCGAATACACACACAGTTTAAATAACAAAACTTTATTCCGAAAAACAAGAAAAACAAAATTAAACAATACCCTGAAAGAAAGAGAGGCTTTTAGGGCCTGTTTACACATATCCCGCACTGGGGCTTCAACAGGCAATTAAATAAAGGAATCTTATTACAGTTATTAAATAATCCAAATAAATCTGGTCGTAAACCATTTGCGATATTGAAGTGCACTTATAATCGACACAAAAACGTTCGCCGACAGCTTCATGAAACTCAATTTATCTTGATAACACCATTGAATAATAAATCTGATTTAATTCAGATTTATTATTCAATGATAACACTAAATTTGATGGCTTTTCGGACGGTAGAACACTTTCAAAGTTGTAACTTTTAATGAAAAGAGAACCTTATAGAAAGGCTTCACTATGCAACAACAAAATAACGTCTGCATGACGTACTTTACACAACTGCGGCGAACTTGGGGTAGTTCGCGCACCAAAGGCTTTAAAATTAAAGGGGCCATTAGTTTTATAAAAATAAAATTTAATTAAGAGAAAAAAAAAGAATCGCAACTAAATAAGTACGCTTAAATTCTACGGCAGCTATTATAGCGGCGGACCGGTAAACTCAGGCGCCCCAAACGGTACGGCCTTGTTCCTGGCAAAAGTCGGCGGTAGCAGCGGTTTGTGGGACGGTCTCGGAAACCCCGGGTAAACTCAATCCGTCAACTCCAGGAGTCGGACGAGGGAGATGAAAGCAAGAAAACACAAATTAATTAACGATAGCTACGGGAAAAGGAAATCAAATGCAAGAAAGCGAAACAATTCGTCCCTTATAATTAATGGAACAAAAAATATCAAAAAGCTTACCTTGCAATTAAACGTAGCGGTACTGCAAAGTTTAGTAAAAAAAAACAAACGCGATAGATACGGTGCGGTGTAATTAATTGCAAAACCAAATTAAACGGTCTTACGGCTGCGAAATCAATTTACGGAAATATCAAAATCAAATTCGGATACGGGGACTGTAAAGTGAATGTTCCAAGAAATGAAAATTGAATGATACTAAAAGAATCAATTTACGGAAAGTATCAAAATTTAATAAGGCCCTTTCAAATGTAACTCACAAAAAAGTCAAAAGCGAAAAGATTTTACGTTTCGGCAACAACTTTACCTTTTATAAAATTCGGCTATTTCATGGAGGGATCGACGGTTTCCGAGCCCGCACAGCGTATTCGGGTATCTTTGTATCTACATCCAAAAATTAAAAATTCTTTAATGAAATGTGCGGTTTGCTGACGTCCTATAAATCTGAAATTGCTCTTAAAATTCAAATTAATTAAAACCTTCTTTTGATACCATTCACGACTTGATCGGATCCTGTTTACGCCAACACATTAATTTAGCATTTACCTAATTGGCCGGATTGAAATGTCTAAAGTCGGTCGTAGTCCAAAAAGACTCATTGCTAATTGGCATTTCTCAGATCGGCATAAAGGTTGCTTATCAAAACTGATATCGGCGTAAACCTTGGCCTTGCAGTTTTAGTGTTCGTTTTAAATTACCATACGAAACAAAAACCTGCTAAATAATTACTTAACAGAGCAGAATTCTAAAATATTAATTCGCTCTCATCTTCTAAATGAAAAGAGCTTTCAGATGCAACAAATGCAATTGAAATATCTGGACGGGAACGGTGGCAAACGACGAATTAATTGCAGCGTTTACTTACGGTAGCGGCGGGTGAAACACAACTCTAGAAACTAAATCAATTACCTTTAGCTTCTATCTTCAACTCCTAAACTCAATACAAATATACTTTCTGCACGACACTTTTCGTAACAAAGCGCCCAACTTAAAACACTTCTAGATACCGGGTGTTCATGTAACAGAGTGATTACTAAAACGGGTAAACGTTAAGGCGGAAAACGGGTGCTTTGTTACACAACAATATTCTGCTATGAGATGCTTCGGACGTGTAATGTTGGTAACGGGTTCATTATATCGTTCTGATTTCATACTTGAATTATGAGACCTATAATACTAATAATAAGTTATTTTTATTTGCAGTGGCACGAAGGCGTAGAAAAGAAGGTCGACCAAGACGTCAACGAACAACATTCAGCAGTGAACAGACGTTACGTTTGGAAATCGAGTATCAAAGATCGGAATACATAAGTAGGGGAAGGAGATGCGAGTTAGCCGAATCTTTACAATTATCCGAAACGCAAATCAAAATTTGGTTTCAAAATCGCAGGGCTAAAGACAAAAGAATAGAGAAGGCCCAATTAGACCATCATTATAGGTAAGTGGAACAACAGTACCTAGGATATGTGCCAAATTCCATTTTCCTTTGCAGAAAATTATTGGGGGCCTTTTCTACATTTTGTCCTGTATGTATCGATAGCCCGTGCCTACACATCACGCCAAATTCATCGGTGCTACAATCGACCATGCCATTGAATTCTCCTGCAGCAATACCAAATAATTCTCACAATTTTGCTGGTCATAACAGTGATTTTAGTGATATTGACGTTAAATGAAACCACAGCGGGTCAAAAGTGCGCAAATAAGTGAACATCACTTGCGACAATAAGGAATTGATCGCTAAAATACAGAATGGTGTATATTATGTCAGTGATTTTCACATAATATGAGGGTTTTTAACACTATTAGAATTCATTGCTATTAGGTAACTATAGAGGAAAATCCACGCTCGTAGATATTATATTTCTATTTCGTTAGAATCAGTGAATGTAAATACTTAACTCTCCGATTTTTGAATTATATAGATAGACATGTACAGCAATATTCTAGTGAATTATCGAATTTATATCTGCATTTAAATAAATGTTCCTTTATTTACTTCGTAATGTGAAACGAAATGTATAAACTTTTAAGCGGAAAGCAGACAATTAAATACAGAGTATCGAACTGCACCCTGTAACGGGAGCATTAAAATGGGGTTTTTTTTTTTTCGAAATTTTAAAGGGGTTTGTAGAGTGGTTCTGATACTTAGATAATGGGTTTTCCAACATTGGTTACTCTAAATTTAATTTTCGATCAATAATTTTCCAAAAGAGCCACACTTTATTTCAGTAAGACAAAGGCAGGTTAGTCATGGAGAAAATGAGGTCAGTTTTTCAATTTTCAGGTAAAATGCAAATAAGTCCATTTTACTGAGAGAATTGGAATTGAGCCAGCCGTTGATACATTTTGGGGCAAAAATTTAACTTTACCGCACACAGTCAACATTTCAGCAAAACCTTCAGAGATTTGCCTACTATGAAACGTACCTACCTAATCCCTGTTACAAATGTAGCCATTCAGTAACTAAATTTTCATCAGACTAAGTACCTACAGATTGGGGTTCTAAACGTAGATATACCATAGTCAACCATGTAAGATACCTATATCTTTGTTGTACAGCAAATGTAAGGTTCCAGAAATACAAAAGTGAGAAACATCATGGTACTTTCAAACTATCTAATGATTTCGTAATAAAGGAAATGAGAACGCCAAATTTTTGAACATGAGTTCACCGTGTTAGATGTGCTAATGTTATGGCTGTGTTAACCATCCAAATGCATATGGCACTGTAATTATTTATTTCTACCACCACCAAGATAAATCGACTGCTTTCTCTACAGTCATGAAAGAATTCGGATTAAAATATGACAAGATCATGAGTTACAACCAGTTTCGCTGTGAAAACGTCGATACGCATCACTTTGATAACTAAGTGTTTAATTTTGTATATCAGTAACTAGTAGGTCCTGTAAAAAAAAGCAAAACAGCAAATTATGTAATGATGGTGCTATGATATAATCATTTCGTGGACGAATATTGTAACTTGTAGAAAAGCACTCTTCATATTTCAATAGAATAACGTTCACATAGAGGAGTAATTAAAAATAATTACGCATATACCTACATTACACCTACTTACTAGGGTCACATATAAAATAGGTACTTAAGGGTTGTAAGAGTGTTAAATGCACCCTAACTACCCAAGTAATTACATCTAGATAGCTATTTATATTCGACAATACATAAAGACGTCCTTTATTGCCGTTATATAAATATCGTGCTTTACAATCATCGACGCAAGTAAAGCGTGCAGATGCTTCACAAAAGAGCAGATTAGCGTATCCAGGTGTGGGTTCCCGCGCATTATTTTCTAAAGCTGACCCTTACTTTATGATTCTGATTTTACCTTAGTTTACTTTTTTCAATATCTCAGTTCCTTTAAGACATGGTAAACCACCAATAATGAATGTTTTGTATTGGGAAGAATACAATACATATTGTTACTACCTATACCGTCCGTTTTAATTTCGAAATGAAAATTAAGAGAGCAATCAAGTGTATTTTCCGCAATTTGTTTTCGTAGGTTTATAATCGATAGGTACCTACTGTATTTTACATTTATCTCTCTGCGTAACTACTAAAATTAATTTACTTATTTATCTGCATTTCATTTCGTTTGTAATGCTCTTGGTGTTTGCAGAGTCATAAAATTGCTTACAAGTCGTTCTAAAGTCTAATAAAACTATATTTCAAACCAAATAAAGCACCTAAATTCATTTTGAAATTTGTAAAAAGCATACGTTTTTCGATATTAAAACGTGGAAACATTTATATTATAGTACCTACCTACCTACTCCAAACATTACCTGGAATAAAATAATGTTGCTAAACCAGAATCATACACACTAACACACGTAGGTACTCATTCATATACAAGGACATCTTAAGATAATTCTGTTTACACTCGCCTAATATAATATTTTGCATTATCAAATCAATTATAAACAAACAATTGATACCTCCGAACTTTGTAAAATATTTGATAATTTTAAACGGGAGTTGAAAGAAGAAATGGAACACATTATTAGGAAGGAAATAGGTACATACCCTCAATATACCGGCCTTTATTGAAGATTTTGATAAGTTTAAGCTTTTGGAAGACGAGAATCGTGCATTGAAACAAAACGGTTAACCAACAACAAAAATTAATCGAACAAATACGTAGCCAGAATAATGTGGTAATCTTCGGAATGAGAGAGAGCGACGAAAACTATTGACATGGAAAGTGGAGTGATAGATCTGTTCAATAATGTGTTGCAATTACAAACAAATGTCACGCGAGATAATTTAAACTATGTTACATATTTGCTTAAGCCTTCAGTTCGAGCTTCAGTTGCATTACATATTACTCTACTAATGTAATGTGTATGTTTGTATATACGATACATAACTGGGTGATTTGTTGTAACATTCCGTTGTGTTACTTATTACGTTCATGTAACATATAGATACATGTATGTTACATAGCGTGACGTATTCGTTACGTTACACCGTTACATAACAATGCTAGGCGTTTTGCTACTTGCAGTTGCATGTAACATTCAAGTTACTAGATACATAACGAACCACCTAGTTAACTATTATATTTATGAATTAGGTAGATACGTTTTCCTGCAGTTTTCCTAATTCGTAAGGTAAATACCGTCAACTGTCTCTTTCAATCGACAATATATCATTTGGCGCCCTTAATACACAAATAGCTATTTTTGTACTGTCCATTTGCCCAAACTGTAATCATAAAGAAATATTGTTACAGTACACAATAAGCTAAATTTGTGTCATAGAAAGGAAGATGTATGATTTTATTGCAGCTTGTTCAATTTTATCAGAATTTAGATAAGTATACCTACATTTGTTAATATTATTATGAATTAAAAGATTATGTCAAAAGCAAAAATTAAGTTTATTTAATGTTGTATTGTAAAGGATATGAAACTATAGGTTTCAATTTGTGGCAATGTTTAAATAGTTAAAAACTTGACTTAAGTTTGAATTTTTGTCCTGCTAAATATTGCAAAAATAGTAATGTAGCAGTTTTTGTTTGTTGTTTATTTAAATACCTATATTTATTTAGGAACCAACTCCTCAGACTCTATGAACCATGAGAATAGGTTGCCGAACAATGTTTTGTTTTAGTTGTTGAGGTATAGCAAAAGAAAGATTATTATTATTAGTGCTGATTAATGTATTGTTAAACCAACAATTTACATAGGTACATGTACTAGATATCAACTTTTCTATTCTTAACCAGGAGGCCACGACATTTGTCGCCCTCCTAAAATATGAACATGCAGATGGTAAACGGACTGACATCCATCAACACCATTATTAATAACTAATCGATAACCATTTGGTAGTCGTTCCTGAGCCAACTTCTTAGCAGTTAACATCAATGTTCCCAGAAGCTCTTTATCACACTCTTCGCTTGCATCAAGCAACGGAATTCGCTTTTTTGGTATAACCAAAAAGTGAGTGGGAGCTTGTGGATTTACATCATTAAAGGCAAGGCAATGATCATCTTCGTAAATGATCTCGGCTGGTATCTGCTTCTGTATTATTTTATCAAAGATAGTGGTTTCATTCTTGCTCCACTTTGCATGTTGCGCTTTATCCACCTCTGTTCCCATCTAAAAGAAAAAAGTATAAATATCTATATAAGTAGTGGAGCAGATATGCTTACACTCTTATTTAAGGGTGAAAATGGGGCCAAATGTACAGGAAAATGACATAACAGAGATTGTGACTTTCTGAAAACAACAGATAAAGCTGTCATTTTAATGGATAGGTTAACACAAAAATGGATAGTGATAAGAACACTATTTTTAACATTTAAACACAAAAGCGCATAATTATACTAATTTTATTATTTTACCTTGTAAATTGTAGATAACCATAAAAAATTCCTTCGTTGGTTGGCTGCATTCAGCAAATTCGCATTTGCACTGGAACTGGGAAGCTGGTTAGGCAACACAAAATACGCCTGTACCTACGCGACGATTTTGAATATTGTTGAGATCTGTTAGGTAGATATTAAGCGCCAGAGCAAAGCTATATATGCAAGCTTTATAGGGGAGTCGATGGTGTCCATCTGCCCATCTGTCCATGAACACTATAACTGCCAAACGCTGGGACCGATTTAGTTGCACAGTTGACCTATATGCCGCATGTAATAAGCTTATTGAAAATGGGTCAAATCAAATGACCCCGTGGGGTCACGCTTCTCTGTCCCTGCCAAACGCTGAACCTATTCGGTTGAAACTTTGCACAGTTAACATAATATACCACATGTAACAAGCCAATTGAAAATGGGTCAAATCCAAACACTCCGTACGTGGGGTCACACCGATAGGTGCTCTGCCGCTTTTTTAGACGATCTTTATGGGTTTATTAATTGATACCATTCAATAAGTAATTATAGGTATTCAGTGTTGATGCGTAGGTATACATTTATTATAAACTTTATTTGTAAAGAAAATCTGACATAACTACAAAAACGCGCGAACACAACATGTTAACAAAGCAACACGAAAAATTACATTATTTCAACAAATATAAATATTCAAGGGTCGGCTACGGTGTAAAATAGAAAAATGAACTCTGATCCGTCGATTTGGAAACAGCGTCGTGGGCCGTTAAATGTAAAGAAGAGACGGCAAAAGTAGTGTCAGTCATTCTTTAAAAAGTATTTAAACAATGGCCTTAACTAGGGCGTGGCGAAGGTGGCATTTGCCACGGGCGCAAGAATCCAAGGGCCCAAGGGGCACAAAATTATTTAGAATCGAACTGCAAGAAGTCATCAGAAATAATCGAAAAAAAAGCAGAAGGTGAAAAGAAGCAAATTCCCCATTTTTTCAGAGCGCTCGATTTTTGCGCTGCCCCGGGTACAAACGGCAACTGTTCACGATAAATAGTGGTATCGTAGGTTTCGTGACATTAGTTGGATGTTAACGTGGGATCATTTTCGGTCTATACCTGCTTATTCTCGTTTTTACGAAAACGGGTAGAGCATGGTCCTACGGAACGCACCATTTGGTTGACAAATCTCCGGCCTCAGCCTCAGAGATTTACCAGGAAATAAAAGAATAAACCCCTAAAGAGCATCTAAAAAAGCGGCAGAGCACCTCGATCTGACCCTACGGGGTCATTGAATTTGATCCATTTTCAATTGGCTTGTTACATGTGGTATGTTAACTGTGCAAAGTTTGAACCGAACAGGTTCAAGCGTTTGCCAGAGATAGAAAGGTCGTGACCCCACGGGGTCATTGGATTTGACCCATTTTCAATAGGCTTACTACATGTGGCATATAGGTCAACTGTTCAAAGTTTGAACCAAATCGGTCCACGCGTTTGACAGTTATCGTGTTCACGGACGGACAGAAGGACACCATCGACTTTCCTATAAAGCTTGCATCGCTCTCTGTTATCTATGGAAACGTGAAATAGTTATTTCTGTACCTGTGCTATTCTCGCTGGCCTACCGACGGTGTTACCAGATTGGGTGATATGTCGCAAAGGGGTATGGGGTTTATGGTCCATATCGCCGACTATGGACACTACGCCGACCGTGCCCGCATCGTCGACAAGTGTACAAGGGACACTGAGCCGAACGTGACCATAACGTCGACTCATACAACAGTTCATAATGAAGCTGGACGGTGTGCAACACCAAGCAGCTTTTAACGTTAGGTTATTGTAGGTTTAGAATATTTTTTTTAACTTTTTTCGAACTAAAAAATCATACAAAAATTCTTAATGAAACTGGACAAAGTATGAGGGGCCTGGTATTTCGAATAGTCGGCGTATTCGGCTTAGTGTCCCTTGCACACGTTTCGGCGATGTGGGCACGGTCGGCGTAGTGTCCGTCGGCGATATGGACCATCAAAAAATCGTGTCGGCGTTGTGGGCATTCGGCGAAATGTCCTAGACCCGTCGCAAATTGGGCGATCTGAAATGCCATTTTTACTACCGAAAATTCAGTTCTGCGACAGGCGACATTTTGGGCTACTAAGTAAACGTCAAATCCAAGACACGATGACCCATGAATAAAAGAGAGCATATGCTTATACTTGCAAAATTCAAAGTAAATACTCGGAAGTGCTCCTTCACACTGGGCGACTTAGCAGCGCTGCTGAGCAGCATGACAGGACGCAGTGCAGCGCTGCTAAACAGGCCAGTATGAAGGGACACTTTCGAGTATATATTTTGAATTTTGCAAGTATAAGCATATGCTCCCTTTTATTCATACGGGCCATTGTCGAGATTTGTTCTCGTTTTCAACAACTATGCGTAATGCTTTCTAAGCATTTGCGGTATTTATGCAAATTTACTTATCCAGTATAGTACCAAAGACTATCCTGGAGGTGGATAGTCTTTTATAGTACCTTTGATATAGGTATTTTATATTCAAAGATAGTACCTACATAATACATTTTCTTGAAATTTCTTAAATCCGTGTATTTTACGGCGGGTTCGGGGACAGGTAAAGGGATTAGTCTGTTAGTATTAGAAGAAAGAAAGGATGACACTCTTTGATCTCAGATCTCTCTCTTCTAAATAAGGGGTGTGAGAGGTACATACCTAAGGGGCGCAAGAGGTACTTACGGCTCGCCACAGGCGCTTGGAAATCTAGTTACGGCACGGGCTATTAAATACGCTTTAAATGTGTACTTATATTAATCAAATTCAAGGACGCATCGACAATTTTAATTCCATATTTCTCTTGAAATGCCCTTTAAACAATTGTGAGCCAGACTACCGGTCCGTTTGCCGAGCTGGCCTGCCGAGCGTTACGCGTGACGACGACAGAATATAGGTAGGTATCATATAGGTGATACCAGACCAAAATATATAGTGCATAACGACGGAAAATATAGTCTGTTTAAAAAACGCATAAAATAAACTATAATAAAATCCGATTATATAGGTACAAGCAATTGTAAACAACACTGTTTCAGATGAGAATATCCTTCAATTCGGATCTTTGTATCTTAATTGAAGGCGTCAGTGGAAACTCTTTGATGAACTTCACTCCCCCTCGCAGTACATTTGTATCAAACACTCTTTTATTCACGTACTCTATTATATCGTCTGACGTTACTTGTTCCACAGCTTACGTAAGCTGTGCTTGTTCTTCGTTTTCGTTTAATTGAACCACGGCGATTGGAACATATCCCTCACTTTCGTGCTCCAGCATTTTGAACGGAACGGTGGGTCAGAATAATTTCTTCTACTTCTCGTGGATGTATGTAAGTGTTGTTGTACTTAAAACTTTCTGTGGCTCTGCCAACTACGAAAATGCAGCCGTGTTCGTTATAATAGACCAAATCACCAGTTCTGTACCACCCGTCCGAATCATAAAGGCCGTGTGGTTCAGAATTGAGATACTCCCTCATTAGGTAATTTGTTTTTAACCTAAGCTCCCCTTCTTGGTGTGGTCCTAGAATTTCTTCCGTTTCCACGTTCACCACCTGCAACCACATGTGCTTAATAAAGAGGACATAAGCCATCGAACACACCTTCCAGTCAAACGCTCTTCTAAGTAAGCCAATTGAATCGGGAAAGTTATTCATGAGGGATTGCCCACGTTCTCCTTCTGGAAATTCCGCAATGCGTGCAAATACCTCACTTTGACCATAGCTCTGACAGACTACTGTTTTAGGAAACAATTCTCGTAGCTTTAGTATATGATCTTTTGTTGAATGGTTGCCACCCACAGTTAAACGTCTCAAATTATCCAAATTCAAATGATCCGGTTTTTTCTTGTTAAAAAACGCGGTGGTGGCTATGGGCGTTACAAGAGTGAAGTCTACTATTAGTCCAGTCAAATTAGCGCAATTTTGGACAAATAAAAACATTAATTGGTAAAAATCTGAATTTTGGTATACACATTTATTGGGACTTCCTATTGAACATACTAAAAGTCCCTGTCAAAATCTGTTGCGCTCGAGACGCCATCTTGGAAAAAGGGTACACTTTTCCAGTTTTTTGCCCATGTCTCGGCAATTATTACTGACACGAAGAAATAGTTTACATGAAAAATATAGTTTACTAAATTCCCTATAAAAAAGAGTATTTACATTTTTTTTGTATCTCCAGTACTTTAGCTGTAATCTCACGTTGAATACGTCAGAACGCGTTTAGGCCCCGTATCGTAGTTATAGAAGGAGGCAGTCTTTTTTATGACTACACCGATAGCTGTAACAGCACCAAAAAATGAACAGAATCGTCGTGCGATAAAGCATTCTAGCAATGACATAATGTTTGATGATATGATACATCATGTTTTTTTTCAAAAAGGTAAGCGAAAATGTGTAAAAGTGTTGGAGCAACGAAATGATTTCTGAAGCTGAAGAACGCCCTTATCTGCATAAGTATAACGTGCCTGCTAGTAAGAGATATTAAAACCGACATCGTTATCAGACCTTCAGAAATACCTTGACCCTGTTCGGACACTGAAGGCTCCCAGTCCACACTCAGTGCTCACATTGAAGATGAAAGTTCTATTGAGAGAGAGTTTTATGAGAAACCTTATTAAACGTGTCTCATACGAAGCTTGAGTGCGACGGCTTCGCATATATAAGAAATACTGGTAGAATTTTCAATGAATTTAATGATTTGTAAAAAGTTGTAAAAAAATATCTGCGCGACTGTTTCGATAGCTCAGGATACTTGATTCCCTATTCGATGTCGGATTATAGCTAAAGTATTGGACATACAAAAAAATGTTAATATGCTTTTTTATGGGCAATTTAATAAACTATATTTTTTATCTGAACTATTTTTCCGTATCAATTATTGTTGCCGATATATAGGCAAGAAACTGAAGAAGTGCTCCTTTTTTCCAGGATGGCGCCTCGAGCGCAACAGATTTTGACGGGGACTTTTAGTATGTCCAATGGGGAACACTAATGAACATGTGTACCAAAATTCAGATCTTTACCGATTAATGTTTTTATTTTTTCTTATTTGACTGGACTATACTGTTTATGTAATTCAGAATTCTCCAAGGGTTTTCTGAATCGAATCTATCAAACACAAGTCTTTTAAAACCGTTGAGTATTGTGTAGTGTATGAATCTGTTGAACAGTGTGAGAGTCGGCGGATAAAATGTAGCAACAATCTGGCACTTCTGTTCTTTACTAAAAATAAACATTAACTTGAGTTGACCGTTACAACACGGGCTTACTCAAATCTCTCCGCCATTGAAGAATGGCTATGGCAGATTCCTTTAGGCTTTCCCGTTGTGCCACTGGTAAACGCAACAAAAACTGTTTCATCCATATTGTGAGCCTCTCTTGGTCTGAATGCATCTTCGTTTTCGCAACTTTCCAAAAATTTCGCAAACGGCGTGTTTGTTTGGGTTTGTCTCAACACTACCAACAGCGGCTGTCTTTCAAGCTCGCGTGTTACCTTTTCCATCAAGGCTTCGCATTGTTGCGCAACAAAAACAATTTTTGGTGAAACCTGTTTTAATAAACATAGAATCTCTTGAGCAGACATCGTAACATGAACATTGGCCGTTATCGCCCCAACAAACAGTGTTGCTATGTAAATTACGCACGCGTCCAACTCGTTTAGTGTACACCTAGATACAAAGTCACCAGGCCTAACTCCTTTACTCTTCATTGTGATTGCTGTTCTAATTGAGCGTTTTAGCAAGCTGTCGTAGGTTTCTTCTTCACCTGTACGCCCATCGACCTAAAAATTGACTATAAGTTGGGATTTTGTGTGTCGCACGACACCTGCGCAACTCTCTCCCGATATTTAATCATAGCATTGAAATATTCGTATCCTATACCTCTGGGGTCGGGAATTACCAAAGTGTCCCTCATGATGTTGCTGATTCGACTTTCTGTAAAACAACATTATTTCTGTTAGACAACGTTTAATTTTGAGGAGTAACCAAAACGTTTTATATGCGTTATGCGATAATCTGCCTAAGGGCACAAGGTAACTCGCTAAGCACAAAGTAGGACTTGCAATCAGTGGAAAAGAGACGCTAGTCGGGAATGTTGAGGTGGTTTCATTTTTCAAGCTCGTACGTACGGCAAAATAGATGATGAGTATGTTCTGGGCAAATAAATGTATTTATAGTATTATTATATTTCTAGAGATCAACTTGTTACCAGAAGAGAATACTACCCACGCCAATACCTATGTATATGTATTTTAAATTTGCTGATTTGTAAAAGTAGTTGTCGGTTATTTTTGGGATATTGTATAAGACATTTTGGTTGCAGTAGTTTTAATATTGTAAAAGGAATCGACCCGTGAAAATTATTTGGATGAAACAGATTATGTATAGCACCTATTTATTGATAAGAATCGAATCTAAACAAAGGATTTGGGTTATTTTGCGTTACTTACTGGTTCGAAAACTTGCATTTTATTTTAGTCATTTAGTGATAGGTACTATTCCTTTAGTTTTTTAGTACTTTCTTATTTATGGAAATATTTCTTCGAAATATTAACCAAAGATTACGTATTGTAAACATCAAATTAATGTGAGCAATATCAACTGTCTTATTCATTAATCTTTCTGAAATTTTAGACACAGATGCTCCTTGTTAAAAAGAGAAACATATCTCATATTGGAAACATTAGATGTGCGCATATGCGCAGTGTCAACTTCCTTATTTATGGGGATATTTATTTGAAAATGTAACCATTGATGCTTCTAGTAAAGAAAAACATAGTGCACATAGCTATGACCTTTTGGGAAGCACTAATCAATGCATGCAAAATGCGCTGAAGTTACTCGCTTTAGGGCGAAAACCTTTTTATTTGTTTACTATAAGCTTGGTTAAGATCCAAGATTTGAACTTATAAATTAAGTACAACGAATTAGGTTTCAAGAATTATGCGTCCAATTCAAACTCAATTAGGTATAATTAAAACGTTAGGATTCAAACTCTTAGCGCTAAACTTATGTGCAATATTTGAGATCAAATGTAACAATTTCAATAATTATTTTGGGAGTATAGGCGGGTGGTTTGGTAAGGAGTTGAATACTACTAATCGAATTTTATAAATGAAACATATGGTCGCTTTGTCAGAAAATAATTGACTTACTACAAAATTATTAATTATGTGGGTACTCACTGTTTAAATAAATTAGCGTCTATCGGTTCAAAGCTATACTATGTTACCGACTTGTTGAGAAGTACGTATAGCGATCGAACAACATATTTAATCTCTTCCAAATTGGAACCGAATTTCTGTAAAGAATTAGGGTCATATCTTCATCAAAAGTCAAAAGTCAAAGTAACAAGATAGTAAAGAGTTTGGTAGTTATTAAACAAGACCTATACCTACTTGTAAAAACTAGAATTATCCATAGTTTCGTAACCCCGCGATAGAAGTGTTTACATCTCTTCTAAAAAAATAATAATAATCTCGTAATACCCCTTTGGGTTCGGGGATAGAATAGGCCCACTCTCGCCCTGGAGATCGTAAAAGACGATCAATGGGCACTAAATGTGACAAGTCCAACCACCTTTAGTACTTACCTACCCACCTTACTTTCCAACTCCCACACCCATGTTCCCTACTCTCCTACTCTATACACAACGCGCAGGTGGATATTTGCTTACGCCTTCACGTGTTCCAAGTCACCCCATACACTTATGCAAATGGACTTTAAACAAAGCCTCGGAAAAAAGTCGCTACCGGAGGAGCGTCAGGGCACGTCTGGAGCTATCGCTGGGCGTTGCTGCATGCGAGCCGATAGTGACGAGATGGTGAACAGGCGGCCTTTCGTTGGGATACCCGAAACCACTACAGCCGAAAGAAAACTACGAAGACGACAATGACCAATTGAAGATGGTGATTACTTGAAAATTGGGAAAGAGTTGAAGAATTAAAGAATCCGAGGGATATTATTAATCTGATAGACTTGAAGATTTTAAACCATCAAAAAACCCGAAGTGAGGTAAAATTTAGTATATACGAGGGAATTCAAAGAATCTTTACATTTTGAAAACATTGAAGCATTTTAATGAAAACTAATAAGTTTAAAGATTTTATTAACATTACACATTAACACCATAACTAATAATATCAAAAAGTGAGTAAATGGATAAGAATTTTTGCCGCTTGATGAATAGAAAGACGCTCCAGTATAAGCAAAAAATCGTGAATCCTAGACTACCACTATATTTTCATTACTGGCCAATCTAATATTGGAATTCGTATGAAAATCACTGCAATGACATTTCTCGTCGCGAAATATGTTGTATTCTTCAATACTTATAATTAAATATACATTTAAATAATAGGTAACATTTGATACCTTAATGCAAATTGTTCTTCAGTTCCCCCTATAGCAAATCCATGTCTAGTGGTAGCACAAAGCCAACAAAAAGTACTTTTTGAAGCAAGAAGTAAATACACTGCCTACCAATTTTCATTCTGATATCTCCTAAAGCTTCTGTACATATTTGATTCCATACTTTTGCCCAACTCTGTAGGTTATTGTTCAGTAACTTTAAATGACGGGATTGGTGACACCGTTACAGTTGGCTACAATGTTGTTTTGAAATGTCAAAAAATGTCAATTAGCCAACCACCCACGTATTTTGTGTTATGTCTTATTTGTTGTTGTTACGCTTTTTAATAATAAATTATGCTTGTTATAATTAATATAATAATGTGAGCGCCTTTGTGAAAATATATTTTAGTAGGACGAATAATGGATTCATTAAATCAGTCGACTGACGAGGTTGTGGAGAATGGGTAAGTTGATCCAAAGGGACCCATTAATTAGCGATAAGTATTCAGAATTATTCGAACACAAATTATACTGATAACATATCCCTTATAGACGCATTATATTAGCAAACATAATTAAGTGGTTTTCATTATCGTACTCCATATTTAAGTGCATCTCCATTATTTAACAGCACTTCACATAATATGTCGACTAACGAAGATAGCTCTGTTGAACATAACGATGAGTTAAGTGAGTATGACATATATGGGACAACGCCGCCGAGGACACGAATATTACGAAGGAACCGTGCACGAAGGCAACGCGAACTTAAAGAATATGCAGGGTACTTTTAAACAATATTATATATTTAGTAGATTAGTGGATGTTCCAATCTTGTTATATGCCATCTAAATATGCTTCGCTTATGTTCTTAAATTGCTTAGGCACCTTCCAACAAACTTCCCTAATATTTCTGTTACAGATTTACTTTCACAAAAAAATTTGATTAACATTTTTGTCCGTCTCTGATGCATAAGGGTAATTAAGTAAAAGTGTATGGGATATATCATGTACTGTACTGTACAGGTACCGGCATGTAAGAAGATGAAAGATGATGCATCCCCACTTATTCTATTAATTGCACCTACTAGTGCACGACTGAGTCAGTTCTTGCAGACCCATTTTCATCTTTGCTGGTACCAGTACCTGTTGTATTTGAGATAATTAGTGCAAGTTAATTGTTTAATTGGGTACTTATCATTGACATATAGAAATTGACTATGTGTGCCAATGCTAAGTAGGTGAGCAAGAGGGAAAAACTAGGAAGCAAACTCTGTACCGCACTTGTGTTGGTCGCACTGTCGCACCAACAGGAGCGCAATAGATAGAGCTTGCCTCTTTTTCCCTTCTTTCTCACCTGCAGTACCCTTACTTAGCATTGGCACACGCAGTCCATTTCTATTTGTTGATGGTACTTATGATTATGAATCATATTTTATGTATAAGAAAGCTATGCTTTGAAAATGAAACTGATAGTTTACAGGTCAGTCTCGCGGGCAGTAAGTATACAAGGCACACAAAATCTAGGACCTGTCAATTATCTTCATTATCTGCAAATCAAACTTTTTCGAATTTTGCGTATCTATATATCTTCAATCCTTAAACAAGGATGCATTGTCTGTAATGTCAATTCTTTAGTACCTCCGAAATTGCATCTATTAGTTTTTTTTTTAATGGAACGTCCTGTATATTTTTTTGAATACACAATAAAAATTGCTATAAAGAATACCTCGAAGAATATGTTATATGTAATTTATATTATAAAATTTAGCCGTTTTTGGTCTTTAATCATCAATTTTAACATTAATTAGAAAACGTCATGAACCACACATTCCAAAAAAATTCCAGAGCTTCAACAAAATTTTAAAAATTCAGAAAAAAAATTTGTAATTTTGTAATGTTTGGTAATTGTTACAAGTTAATCAAAGCAAATCATGCACCAAAAACACATCAATACAACACTCCTCTTTAATGTAGTGATCACTATCCCACTTTGGTCTGTACTTATCTGCAATTTTTTAAAATGCAATTTTGTGGAAAGTTTATATCTTGTAGTGCTGTCTGTCTGCTAAAATCATTATTAAAACTTTGTAATCTATGAGGTAATCTATCAGCATGGGTTGTACGGAATAGATTCCTGCTAAGTATGCACTTTTGTTTAAATCGTATTCCTTGATAATTTTTTTTTAATTCTTGCAGCGCTCAGAAAGCCAATGTTTCATCTAAGAGGATCATCGGGAGACGAAATACAATTTCTAATACATTTGATGAGCTGATGTCCAAAGCCGACGCTACAGATTCTGATCAAGGAGGTAACCGTCCATTATTTTTTTTTTTGTAATTATACATAAAAACATTTGGAATTTATATCAATATTCAAGTGTTATTTAGGATATAGACAGGTATAATAGGTTTTACCTCGGGTTATACCCTAGTTTGCACGCACGTCATCGGTGTATTGTGACGCCATCACTAAGTATGTTTACATAGCATCATGCAATCAGTGGAAGAGAATACCTATACTTTATTCCGTATAACTTCCGTTGCACGTCATCATTTTCTGTGACGTAATTACTATGCAATAATGCCAAATCTAGTTTTGAGCGATTTAGGTTATGTCACTTGTCAACAAGACAGTGCATTCTTTGTGTGAACAATCCACACCTTAAATAAAATAAAAATAATTTTTATTATTCATTTCGTTAATTGTAACCACAATATACATACAATATACTTTAATAACTTATGAACTGTACAAATGTAGCATCTCTTTTACAGAGAAAGTACTAAATATAAAATTTTACAGGTTATGTGATGTGATGGATGATATTCAAATTAATCGGAATCATCGGAACTGCTTTCGTGTTCAAAGTTTATAATAATAGTAGCAACGTTTTCAAGATCTAATTGCTTTTCTCTTTCGTACCACTCGTGTATTACAGTTTCCGTATCCTTAACTGAATTGCGCCACGTTTCGGAAGTTATCGATTGTAGTGATTCTTGTCACATGTTTATGCAATTTTCAATGCTTCGTCCATCTCTACCAATGTGTCGATTGTAGTAATTTTTCGCTATGCCCCAAATATGTTCGATAGGATTAAAAACGCGATGATAGGGTGGTAATCGTAAAACGAAGTAACCGTATTGCTCGGCTAAGTGGTCAATGCCTTATGCGGTACATTTTAGCTGATTTATTCCTAAAAGTATCAACAAGATTTATATAACATCAAATAATTTGCGAACGTACTTACTGTGCAACCTTTTCAACAGTTCGGTTGTAAAATCATTTTCGGAGAACTGCACATTATGATCACCTAACCACACTTTAATGTTGTCTGTTTTCCCGTTATCGAACACAATTACTGACGGGTTATCTAAATTCTTCAGTAATTTCTCTTCAAACCAATGCACAGCGAAAGACGTAGAAAATAATCAAAATCAAATCAAACGAAAAGTAAACCAAAAGCAACCTATCAAATTTACAAATTTAAACGCGACAACATAGCGAAATGCTACCAATTGTTGCGGCTAAAATAGGTAAACTACATGCTTAACTGTGTTGCCTAATAAACGAAAGTAAGTTTACGTTGGTACGTCGTTTTCTTCAGGTAATTACGTGCAACGGAAGATATACTGAATAGACCGTATGTAGGAAACCATACAGACAGTGCTTTCAGGATACCCATTACATCTACGACTTCTCTTGAGCAATTACTAAAAAATGTTTCGTAACAGGGTGTTTATGTCGCGATCTTTTACTAATAAGGTGGACATTACCATTTGGACGTAAAGGAAAAATTAAAAAAATTATTTTAATTGTTTTTTCGTAATAACAACGCTCGTAGTATCTACTTAGCAACAGAAGTCGAGATGCGACTGCAATCTTGACTTACCCTATACTCATGAGCAGAGCCACCATTATTTTCATGTCAAAACGACGGACGTTTAGCGTTACTTTTGAATCTGGGTAGCAGTCATTGTTAAAACTGGCTGTTCTGTTTATTCCGAGGTTTATACACAAATGGGAAAGGAAATTGAATAAAAACTTATAATTTTGTGCGTAATAAGACAAGAACATATAAAGTATATTACGCACACAACCAGGGGTCAATTTTTGAGATGCGATCGTTTTTTTGCGAATACGCAAAGTTACGTGTACGTAGTTACGAATGTCAAGAAAACAATCAATTTTTGAGTGACAGTTTCTATTATTCGCAACTTTACTTACGATCATCGTAAAGATGCGATTGATAGATTTGACAACACCTGAATTAAAATTGACATTTCGCAAAATTAAATCTAATTTCGTATTTATTCTCATTCCATCTGTTCTATGGTTAAAGAGGTGTATATAATTGTACCTCGTTATTATAATGGACAGTTTAAAAAAGAGAGGTGCAAATGATTCCGAAAAGCAAAAAACTATGCTGGTGGAATATGTGAAAAATAAAGGGTACCGCTCACTAGAGCGAAGCGGTGCGTCGACTGGAGTACAGGTATAATGAAGAAATCGACGCTTTAATAAAAAACGAAATTGCTTCTTTAACAAACCATTACATCTCTATTGTTGCCTTTGTTGTTTTGTGGAGATTATTGTAACGGCTTTCTGGAGTGTTTGGTTCCACATTATTAAAAGGTGTTAACAACCAAGAGCGAAGGGGATATCCCGAATCTCCTGTAAAGAATAAGTATTTCCCCAAAGTGTAAGGAACTACATTTATTAATAAATGTGTCACACACCCAATACTAATCGATGTAATTGCTGCATAAGACCATTGACATTTGATTGATTCCATAAATAGGAAAACTCAATTCCTCAAAACCTTCCCCTTTGAGGAATTGAGTCGTCTATTTCCTATATGGTTCATCACCCCATTTAGAGAATGGATCAACAACGAGTTTTTTCTGATATAGGTACCTATATCTATATGCATCGTTAGTACCTACTTCCCGGATACCTTGCGTTCACATTTAGAATGTTGAGGCTGCTGTCACATATCTAACAACATTTTTGTAACGTTATCCACTCATCTTCCATTCTTTAAACTTACCGACTGCACATTAATAGAGTGGTAACCATTTCGGTTTATATATAAATATTCAGGATGCTCCGGATCCTCAATTTTCGGAGGAAAAATGGGCACATGCGTGCAGTCTATGCACCCTATAGTTCCCGGAAAACCAAATTACGTAAAAAATCTAAAATCTTGAATGGCCAAAATGTTTATCAATTCTTCTATTTTCGATAAAATTTTTAAAATTGACGATCAACTGGTCACTATACTTTATATTCAAAGCAAAACGCATTCGAATATCAAATTACGCCAGCTATCTACCGCTCGCAAAAAAGCGAAGGATATTTTAAGAGCGCGCAAAGAAACGTGCTGTCAAAATTTGAAACAAACTACTATTCGTATTGTTCCGTATACGTTTCCCATTTGCGAGCGCTCAAAAATTGACCCCCAGGCGATGTCAGGGAAACCTTCTTTGGGACAAAAACCCTGTAATAGCCTACACTACATTAACCAAGACAACAAAAGCAAAAGGGAATCCACAAAACATTTCTAATTTCAAGATTCTAGGAACGATATATATTTTTTTCCAAAAACAGCAACGTGCATCGTTCTTGCTAGCTGTTGAACGTCGCAAGGGCGATATACATCCGTACCTTGTTCACCGATCTTCCTGATAACGTCTATCCGATTTAGAAATTTGCGAAATAGGAGTTATTGCTCTCTTAACTTTCTGTGAAGTGAAACTTGTTACGTATACGAATTCTTATATTACTAAAGTAACCACTCACCTCTGCGACTGGTAAAAGTGGACCATCATTTTCTCTTTCTTGTTCAAAATAGCTTGCTTTTTTTTGGTAAACCTGAAGGCATTTTTGGGTTATACAACTTTTGGCGCAGAATCTTGCAGTGAGACTTAGATTGGCTAGTGTAGCAAAACGCGATACTGCTGCTACTGCCACTTCCCTTTGTTAGATTTTGCAATACAAGTTTTCCTTCTTTTTGGGGTTCCTCAAGCAGTAATATCTGTATGTGATAACGAAGTGCAGATGCGTAGTAAACAATTCCAAAATTTATGCACTCAGTACCACTGTCAAATTTTCTATACCCCTTGTACTACCTTCGGGGAAGGGGGGGGGCATGCGAAACGGTAAACAAAACCATAATTTCGTGTTGTGTGTTGCCATACGCACTGCACTCTGCGAAGTTACGGGTTAGTCACATTCTCTAATAATTTGTTTAATTTTTTTTAAAAAACTTCAGTAATTACCAATATAATTGAATAAAAACCAATTTTTCAGTTAAACGAATTCACAAGCGGTCGATGAAGCTTTTACGTGGTTCCGAACGTGATCTCAAACTAGACATCGCAAGCGCCCAATTAAACGCCGCTAATCATGAGATGAAAGTATCGCATCCATTTATTCAGGTGGAGAGTTGCAGAAGGTTCATGAGTCTGTGCTCTCGGAGGGTGGTATCGAATAATAATAATAATAAATGTGAGACGACTATATGTGAAACCAAGCAAGAACCTGCCAATGTAGAGTGCCCTCAAAGTAGAATAGATTTCCATAAGGCCTTAAGTATGTTAATAAGAATGGGATGTGGAGATAAAGCTCTACCTGATCGCAGTACCCGTAGACATGTAAGACTTAATAACTAGCTTTAAAGGGGTTTGAAATTTTCATTCTTAGATAAGTAGAGAAGAGCAATTGTGGCAGAATGAATTTAAGGATCTTATTTGGTTGGAATTGCAAGCATGGCATGCCGATAGAACGCCTGCGGAACAAGACAGCTATTTGTGTAATGCCCGAGAATCGATTCAAGACCTCCTGGACGATATAATGACCTATCGTTTCATTAGGAACAACCCACACACATCTACGCATAGTAACGACAGTGGCGTGGAAGATGAATGTTTAGGCTGTTTATCCTTGATCTGCTTAAGTTGCATGGAAGCCCAGAATGAAGGTTTAAGGGATATTGAAAAACTGTTAAACAGATTAGAAGCGGCCGAATCATTATTTCCATCCAGTAGCGCCTTTGGAGATTTGTATCCCACTTATACCAGCTTTGAATTTGTAGGAAGGGTTAAGGCAATGTGTCTTTGGTATAACATGACAAAGCACCAGTTACTTAAAATAGTTATTCTGGGACGTTTACTAACTTTAGATGGCAAGTTCAATACAAACCTTATGAATATATGCAACGATACAAATTATTCCGTCGATTCGTCCAGTCCTTCGGATAGTAATAGCTCCACATCGTCGCATTCTGATTTTAATTTTAACGCATCGGACGTGTTGACTTCGGTTAACGCTTTACTTAACAATGAAACACAATGTAAAGTTTCGCCTTATAGAAAGTATATTGAGAATATGTTAAAAACCAAGGGACTAATGAAAAGTGTTACCTTTCTTGAAAGATTACACCAACACCTCTTATGGAAAGCAGAAATAACGTTACAAAAACCAGAAGATGATAACATCTTTGGAAATGTAGGTAGTTTTGTTTATTTAGTCCTTTAAATTGGTACTGTACATAAATAAGACGCAGTAATAAACTTGTAAAATTTATTAGCTATGCGTGATGTCTGATTAAACTCATTTATCAGAATGGTTTAGTTGTTGACATTGTGCATCTCAAAATTAGTGTTGTTTCCTAGTCCTACAATTGGATGCAGTATATTCGATAATATGGTTTATTACTGTATCGTTTTGGAAACATGTTTCTTTACGTAAAAGGTGGTACTTTCAGACTCCTAACGATTCCGAAGAAGAAGAACTGATTCGTTACGGTTGTTGGAGTCCAGAAGCCAAAGCTTTACAGTTACCTAGTTATAAATCACTTTTCCTTTTTCTGGCGTCCGTCCCCTTGAAGGTAATAAGAGAATTTCTTTGTATGAGATTAGAACAGAAGCCGGATAATCCCTCACCTTTAAGTGTAAGACAACTGCTTCGCGAATTGAAGGAAGGTATACGTATTGCAACACAGTACAAAGAAAGAGTGGTGGGCTATACCGAGGCTGCTTTAAGTGACATACAAACGAACGATCTTGTAAACACGCATTTGGAAAAATACAACAGCAGTTTGTTGTTAGTATTTGAATTGTACTTGGACTATGTAAAGCAATGGGCTCTGTTGCAACACGATACGTTTCAGAAAAGTTTGCTAGAAGACGAATGGAATTTCTGTTGTGATATTGTGCAGTTTATACCTGACGCTTCACAAGCCGCCGGCAAGCAGTTTTGTAACATATTGAACCTTATGCTCGAATCAATCGGCGAAAGATTGCTGCGCAGAATTGAGGAGTGTGATGGTGTGTTTAAAACTGTCAAGGGCACTATTAATAAGAAGTAATGTTATTTACGTTTATTATTGGGCTTACCTTTATTTTCAGGCAATGCTTGATGACCGTTTATCGTGAGCTACAGCAACTGTTTAATGAAGAAAGAGAAAGGTGTATCAAAACTGTGGCATTTACCAAGCATTTATTTAAAACAAGTCATGTACCACCTGAGTATTTACTTGAACTGAAGGTGAGTAATAAGCTGTCAAATCTGGATAAACTTTCCAATCGAATTGACAGTGCACTATGAAATGAATAAATTCACGATACATACAACAGTATGCTCTTGCGCATCTAGCGTGACGTCACGTGTGAACAAAACCACAGAATATAGTGCAAACTTACGCTTCTTAGATCGACAAATCACACTGATTTGTGTAGAGATCATCGCGTCAGGTTTTTCTGGAATTTCGTGATCGTATGAAATAAACTCTAATCAAAAATATTGGCCCTAAACATGAAGTGCGGCTTTATCAGTAAATATTATGTAATAAATGCAAAAGATCGAGTCTCTTCTCCGTTTCCCTTTTATTTTGATTTTTATTATTACGTGGTAGTTTTAAAGTAGGTAAAGCATCAGGTTTCAAATGTCCGCTGTTTTTAAAAGTAGGTATAATTAAGAAGTCGGAACCTTAGCGGTGCTTCAAAACGGCATACAACTGATAAGTTGCAAACTGTCACGCGTGACAGGTGTACTGGGTCGGGCCTTGCGTAAACATTTGAATTTTGGCGCCACACGTTCGCAGGTGACGTAATGCGCAGTAAAAAACGCGTTTGAGAAAAATAATGAGCATACCGTGTGTAAGTGTATCGTGAATAATAGTTATTTGTGTACCAAGGCCGTAAAAGTGATCTTTTTTGGCCGAAGCTGCTGTTTGTGGCCGAGGCGGTAGCCGAGGCCGCAATTCAGATGAGGCCTAACAAATCACTTTTGGCCAAGGTGCACACAACATTTTTTAGGCGATCATCAAAAAAGAATTCAAAAATTTGTTCATAAACATATTTTTTCTGAAAATCATAGTTATCATAGACAATTAAAAACAAAGCAATTCCTGTCATATGTAATAAATTATAATTAGCATCTTTGCGTGTGTTTTGTGCGTATCAAAATGGGTGATAGCGACAGTTCAGGATGAAATTTTGGAAGCTGCAAGCTTGCGAACCTAAGCCATATATGATATAAGAGCTGGCGTTTGAGAGTAAAAGTACAATCGCAACTTCCTCCATTGCACAAGATTTTAATAATGTCAAATGCAATAGGTCCTTCGTAACTGTGGCTTCCAAGACCTTATAGTTAACATGCTGTACAATTATTAGAAACCTGATTACCTACTTTGATGGTAGGTATAGGTAGCTACTTGTGTTCTCGGTTAATTGCTGGTGATTCTTCGCATAATAATGTAAGCAATAACATCTTCCTCATGTTTTGGTTCTACACTTCAAAATGGTCTGCAAGCAGCAAAGATTGAAACGTCAAACTATAATTTTAAATGTGAACGTTGTGATTATGCAAAATAGTGTGAAACATTCCTACAAGTCCGAAAATGAAAAAAACGCACGTGGATGGCCCAATCCTTGATGGGGCTAGACCAGATAGACGCTTTGTATTAAACAGATTACTGTTTCTCACACATCAGTTTCAAATAAGTAGGTACAGTTTGACAGATGTGTACAATAAAGTAAAGTTTGACAGAAGCGTACAATAAAGTTAAACTTTATGGCCGCAAAAGCGTCCACAAAATCAACGTTTTTGTGATGATAGCCTAAAAATTCATTTTTTGACGGATATATGCTGATCGATGTTGCTGTTAAACAATTGCTGCCGCACCGTCAAACGCGCGATGTTTAAATAGCCGTTAATTTTTCTGCAATTTTCTGTGGGATTTTCTTAGTTATAAAAACAACAAAATAGCGGCCGTTTCCAAAAAAATAACTTGTTCTAATTAGAGTTTTCATACTATAACTCAAAAACTACAAGGGCTACAGAAAATATGTAAAGGACAAAAACGTTCATTATATAATTATCTATAACTTTGGTAATTACTGTTTTTGTGACAAATCAATAATAATAATTATAATAATGTGTCTTTATTAATAGTATTTTACATTATTAGCTAGGTAAGTGAGTTTTTACTGGCGATAGGAGCCAGTGAAAACTATTACCTGGCGTATAATGTACAATATTTTATTTGTTACTCATTTGTAAACGTAAATAATTAGTTCTTAAATTGACCTCGAAGAAATGTCTAAAATATCATGTGATCCATGTAACAGAGACTTCGCATTAATTCTGGCCAATGAAATTACTAGTTTACTAACTTGTAAAATTTTTACAGGTCAGCTGTCAGTTTTACAAGTCAGTAGCATTTAAACATGACGTTTACCCGTTTGCGTTTTGTCTTGTTAATCAACGTTTACAACTGAGTAACAAATGAATGTATTTACAAATACATTTAAAGGCGAAGTTCAACTTCAGTACCTACTTACGGGAAAACCGGAAAAACGAAAAGAGAAAAAGAACTGTTGCAACCTGCAACGTAGTTGGTCTTCCAATTAACCCGTACATTTAACTTAATAAAAAACAAAAATCTCAGCAGCAACATATAAAACAAAAATTGTAAATGTTCACGTTCGGTGTATCTGTTACATGACAGAGTTTTGTAAAGTCAGAAGATGCCTTTTGCATTCCCGATAAAACGGCCGTTCGTTCAGGTTTTTTATATTGGGCGAAAAACTGTTATATTGGAAAGGAAGGTGATAAGAAAAAGATTTTTCCGATTCGGATGTATTGTGCTGTGGAGGTGAAATCTTTCCTTTATTACGAATATTGAGGTTGTGGACATTTGTGCTAAATGTGACTTTGTTGTATAAATAAGGAGGAGGGTGTTTTGTACTAATAATGCTATGAAAAAGCCCATATCTAACCAATTCTTCAACTCTTTAAGTTAGACGTTTTGCACTCTTTGAATTTTTTGAGCTAAGCGCTTACTAATGCACGGCCCATATAGTGGATCACAAAAATTAAACTTTGATAAGACGAGCGCCTCAGTTAAAATGACTTTTGTTGATTTGTAAAGGACGTGACGCGCACCATAGAGTAGTTTAAGCGCTACTAACACTTTTTTTAAATTTTTGCCTTTATTATTGAGTGGGCGGGGTTTCAGCCAACCAACCCAACCAATTTTATTAAGGTGTTCCTCAAATTTCAACTGACCATCCATCATAACACCTAGATTCCTGACTACGTCCTCAAACTTAAGAGCGGTATCCTTTAAAATTATTCGCAACCCAGATGGCTTTCCATTAATAAATTTTACACAAAATGGTTCCAATTTTACTTACCAATACGTTATAGCTATAGGGGCTAGCGGTGAATTTCGCGGCCGCTAGAGAGGCGAGAGAACTCTACAGTTTTAGTCACCAATAGTCATCAGCCCTAAGCTCTGGCGTACTTCTAAATTCCGAAATTAATGATTAAAGTTTCTGCCTTCTAGCGGGCCATCAATAAAAATATCCATAACGTAATTTAAAGTAGCCGCCATTTTGAATGTTTTGCTAGGAGAGCTTGTCCCCGGTCAGTATTATTTAAGAATAACCTAAAGATTAGTTACCACCATGTAGCAAAACTTTATCATGCCATGTAACTCACACTTAGCCCCATTCACATAGGTGGTAGTGCAGTGCTGTTGCGGTGCGGTGTCTTTGTATAAAAGTTTGAAATACGCATACCCATATGACAATTCACAATGACATGTGCAGTGCAGACGAATTGCAGCTGCGTGCCGAAAGTATGTAAACTTCAAACTTTCTGCACTACCGTTAACAAGCACCAATAGAAGTGCAACATATTTGTTGCTGTTGTCGTTGATTGGTCATACTTGTGTAGGTGGGCCAATTTTGCGGTGATTGTGAAAGCAAATGTCAACATGACAGCACCGGCTCGCACCGCTCAACAAGACAAAGGCACCGCACTACCACCTATCTGAATGGGGCTTTAGGCATTCATACCTACTAATTAGAAAACTTAAAAAAAATGAATGAAATCGGTGAAGTCCTAAAGTTATTGCGGGACAGGGGTTCATTTTTATATATAGAGAAGATGATATCAATATCAAGCGCTTACTTTTAAAAATAAGACGAGTTACCTTTTAAAAATGTCCTTTCGGTTTGTTCGTACATCAAGAAGATACCGAATACTGCATTTGCAGTCGCAGTAAAAGTTTCAAATGATTTAATAACTTTTGTAATTTGTTACGCTTGCATCAGAAACAGTTGTTCACACATGGCTACATCTTAAACTGCGTGCAACAAAAAATTACTGCACGCAACCAGGTTGCGATGGTGTTCACACTTGCTGCAGTTTGTTAAAGTGCTGCGCAATATAAGTAGCTGTGTCTGATACTATCTTTACTAACCCCCACAATAAATAACTACAAAAATGAAATAAGTTTGAGAATAGGATCAATATAATTGGAAATGGTTTTGTTTGTTTACAGAGATCTATAATTACATTCAAGTGTACAATTCCAAGTGCTATTGAAAAAATCGAGGCCATGTTTGATCTTACTAAATTTCAAGGTCTCGATGAGGCAGATAAGTTATCTTTAACATCAAGATGTCGGGAAATCCTACAACAAGGTTTCCGGTTCGGATTCGAAGTATAACATATCCTTTGTTTGCATCGGTTTTCCAAATTGATTATTGATGGTTGCAGTTTTATAAGGTGATGTCCGAGCTGATCCCGTTACAGAAGAGGGAAAAACTCACCGTTAGCATGGTGATATTTGCTCATCTTTGGATGAAATTTGTTAGAGAACGCTGTGAACGCGGAAGAGGAATGCGACCACGTTGGGCATATCAAGGGTTAGAATTTTTGCTTATCGTGTGCGAACCTCACCACACCATTTACTTGTCCGAATCTGAGTTTGAGGAATTGAAAAACGCCATGGATGCATGTATATCGCACGTTATTGGTACCACTGCTCCGTCTACACCCGACTCTGGCTTTCATTCTTCGTCACCAAGACTGTCTTTAGATTGTATAAGGTCACTACCGCGTTCGCGTGGTTCTTCCCCTAGTCCAAGAGCTACCTACCGAAGCCAAAGATCTAATCATAGAAAAACTAGTACTGAACGTTCTCCTAATGTTGAACAATTAGACCTACTGACCGTAAATAATACAGGGTATGTAGTGCAATAACACAACAGTATACATAGTCTTACATAATTGATTGTTAGGTGTCTCACTCCACAAAAAGAAGAACCTTTACAAGATACATATATTAAGATACCTACCAGTCAAGGTGATCGCGTTCGTGAAGCGATTGACCATTTAGATTTAAACTTAGATGAGAAATTACGAGCTCACGATTTGATAGGTAGGGTGATAAAACACACAAAAGAACCGGTTTCTAAGGTGCACTTGAGAAGACGATACGTTACATTTACATGGCAAAGAGGAATAAAAATCGGACAAGGAAGATTTGGCAAAGTGTACACTGCTGTGAACAATAACACCGGGGAAATGATGGCTGTTAAAGAAATCGCGTTACAACGTAACGATAAACATACGATAAGACAAGTTGCCGAAGAGTTAAAAATTCTGGAAGGTATTTCCCATAAAAATTTAGTGAAATATTTTGGACTAGAAATTCATAAGGTAAGTTTGAAGGAGTCGTTCACCAAGCTGTGAGGGTTTTTTAGGACGAAATGTTAATTTTCATGGAGTTTTGCGCGGAAGGTACTTTGGAAAACCTAATTGCAGGCACTGAGAATGGATTGCCTGAATTTCTTATACGTCGTTACACATATCAGCTATTGCTAGGAGTCTCCGAGTTACACACACATGGAATAGTCCATCGGGATCTAAAGACTGCAAATATATTCCTAACTGATGACGGGAATAGTTTGAAGATAGGCGATTTCGGTTGCGCTACAAAGATCAAAGCCAACACTACCCTGCCTGGCGAATTACAGGGCTTTGTTGGAACGCAAGGTAATACTTTCGGTTTATTTGCAAATTATTTTACTTTTTACATGTAGCTTATATGGCACCTGAAGTATTTATGAAAACTAGTGCTGGGGGCCATGGTCGAGCGGCCGATATTTGGTCTGTTGGATGTGTCGTTGTGGAAATGGCATCTGGAAAAGTAAGCTATTTATTTATTGTATAATCTTCTACAAAGTGTTTCTTCACCTGAGTTTTGCAGCTCAAGCTTTACTTAATTTTCGTTAATAGGAAAAATCTGAAATCCCGCCCACTTAAAAGTCAAATTAATTAAAAATAAAAAGTCAAATTTCACACGCGTCCAAAAGTTGACCTGTATCTTGTAGGGGCAACTATATCCCTCTAGACTTTTATTAGAACAACCTTAACACTGCCTAATGACTTTTGTTTAGCGTCCCTGGGCCGAGTACGATTCCAATTACCAAATTATGTTCAAAGTTGGAATGGGCGAAAAACCGCAACCTCCTGAGTACTTAATTGAGGAAGGTCACGATTTCTTAAGTCACTGTCTACAACATAACCCCAGAGATAGGTACACTGCTGCAGAACTACTAGATCATAACTTCGTCAAAATCGGTGACGACTTCGCATAGATTGTACTTACTACTATGTAGATTTTATTTTATATAAAACATCATGTTGGTGTAATTAATACTTCAGTTTCTACATTTGTGTAAAGAAACTCATACAGATGTAATTTTATACGCTTGTGGTAGGAATAAGTAGTTTTTTAACAAATTAAGCAGTAAGATACCTTACAGATGTGATATGCTCACCTTCATTGGATCTAAAACTCCATTTGAAGTGTGAATTTTGTTGTTTATTTTTTAACAATTCTCCCGCATTTTACGGTTCATAATTTGTTTATGGGAGTGCATGGTACCTGCCTTTTAATTTTGAATTTAACTAACTTAATCATTCTGATAGTGAATTATTTTTTTTACAATATTAATTACAGGTCTATGTTTTAATTTTAAGGCATTCTAAGAGTTACAAGCTTTTCACCATACTTCACTTTTGTGTGAGGTTAGATGTAAAGGTGTACTATCAGAATGATTGAATTATGTAATTGTGTTTTATAATGTAATATGTAAGTACCTCCTACACAAAATAAGGGTAATTTTTTAACAATGGTTCATAATGTGTATTTGTTTAACAGCATCATTTTGAGAGTGTAGAGTTTTAATAAATCTTATTTTGGCGTTCCATTTATACATTTAAACAGCATCAATTTTAAATTCTATTCAGATTAGTTTAATAAAGAAATAATTAAAAAAATTAAATTTTATACCTGAAAGATTAAAGGCCGTTTTTCATTAGTCACTTTAAAATTGTCTGATAGATAATCTCCTTTGTAACAACCACAGAACACAACATTTGTTTCCATGGAAACTAACTGTTAAATTGAGCAGAGTGTAAATGGGTTTTTTTATGTGATATGGGAATCCCATGTTTTCTATACACATGTTACGATTACATATTGTTAAAATATGATGAATTTTTCCTCAAGTCTACAGTGGCCAATAACGTTTCAATTTCTTAATTGGATCTGAATTCAAGCTATTTCCAACATTCCGTTGAATAAAACTTTCTAGTCTAAAGTAACTGATCTCATGGACACATGGGAGGATGGGCTAAGGTAGGTATATGTACCAGGGGAGCAGTTGCTGTTAACTTTTTATCAACATTTCAGATCAATAGCACTCTCCAATAAATAATAGTGTGAGGACCGAACAAAGTGTGCACATTAGCTACTCCATCCCTGAAAATAATTGGTGTGGTGCATATTATTTTGTGAAGGGGTATTTGTTAAAGCCTTTTATTTTAAATTGCAATATTTATATTTATCCAAGTTGACTTTGAAACAAACAAAACATGCCACGCAAAAAACTGTCAAAGTTATGGGAAAACAAGACACATACCCACGACTACAGTGCCCTCTATGCGTGACCACCCATTTTGTATTGAAAGCATAGGGCTAATAGCAGTCCATGTACTATATGGTCTAAGGGGAAAACTCGCCATTGCTACATCCACAGTGTGATGGACAAATGAGACTACGTTCAATAGCACGCAGGAGGTGTTAATTTACATAAGATGTATTATTGGTCGGAATATAATCCACATTGGATGCAAAATGTGCAACATCAATGAAAATGGAGCGTTTAATGTCTGGCGGGGCTTAATGGGAGGGAAGATTATTTGCCCCATATGTGTCATGAAACCCTTAATGATAAGGTGTCTTTCTTAATTTTATGAGGAATGAATTACAGACTCTTTGAAGATCTAACATTGGAACCTAGGCGAACCATGTATTTTCAACACGATGCCGATGGGTGTCCGGCACATTTTTTGGCAAATGCTAGAGCAAAGCGATGTAAGCTTTATAGCGGAGTTGAGGATGTCCATCTGTCCGTCCGTGAACACTGCCAAACGCTTGAACCTATTCGGTTCAAAGTTTGCACAGTTCACTTACATGTCACATGTAACAAGCCTATTGAAAATGGGCCAATTCCAATGACCCCGTAGGGTCAAACCAAGGTGCTCTGCCGCTTTTTTAGATCCGCTTTAGGGGTTTATTTGAATTTGCGGTATCCTGGTAAATGGATAGGAGGTATTTTTCAATGTGTAAAATAGTTTTAAAATTAAATAAATTCAAATGCGTAGCAGATGTCCCAATTTTCGACACCTGAAAAATATGAATAACCAATTACTGATACGTGATTGTTCCCATAATCGACATTCGTAAAAGAATGAATAAAATCATCAAACTGAATCATATAATCGAATGTCGATTGATGTTGGAGGAACATTTCAATCTTCTGTGAGCTGATTATTATAACAAAATTAATATAGTAGTAGTTGTTCTTAAAATTGGTAAATAAAACATAGGTATTGGGTCTAGTCACCAACAGAGGATCACACCATTTATCGACATAAAGTTGTACCATTGTATTTATAATAAATACAATTATGGTTGTACGTAGTTTCGAGAACATTATCGATGATGAATTATTGCTCCATTATTAGAATTATAAGGATGCATTAAATAAAACGTTGAAAGTTGCTGTATACTTATAATTGTTATTACGTTTTTCTTTAGGTTATCGATTTCGGCACTAGGCCATCGTCAGACCTTGCTGAAATTACATTTGTGAAGTGGTGGATAATATAAAGTTAGCGGCTTACCGTCATAAAATACATGTAATACTGAAATATACTCGGATACATTAGTAAAATGGTTAAAACTTGAATTTAAAATTGTCGTAAAATGGAGCTGAAAAGAGAGTAAGATTACACACGGTACACTAATCTTATACACTGCCTTTTTTTGAGACCCGAAAAAAAAATTGTCTCAGATCGACCCGGAAAAAAAATGTTCTTATAGAATGTGGCCTGTAGAATCCATAATTTCAAACAGTTCCAAGATTGGGCTACTAGTTCAAAAGTTACAGCCCTTTGAATTTTCTTTCGAAATTGGTTTCTAGTCTATAACTTTTGATTGAGAAGTCTGATCGAAAAAGTACGAATTGTTTTGGATTCTACGCACCAAAATTAATAAGAAAAAGTGTTTTCCCGAGAAATTTTGGTGTAGTCGATTTTTCGTAAAAAAGGAAGGTTATACACTGCCTTTTTTTGAGCCCCAAAAAAAAATTGTCTCAGATCGACCCGGAAAAAAATTTTCTTATAGAATGTGGCCTGTAGAATCCATAATTTCAAACAGTTCCAAGATTGGGCTACTAGTTCAAAAGTTACAGCCCTTTGAATTTTCTTTCGAAATTGGTTTCTAGTCTATAACTTTTGATTGAGAAGTCTGATCGAAAAAGTACGAATTGTTTTGGATTCTACGCACCAAAATTAATAAGAAAAAGTGTTTTCCCGAGAAATTTGGGAGTAGTCGATTTTTGGTAAAAAAAGGAAGGTATACTATGCGAAGTATTCGAATACTTCACCTGTAAACCTGTAAAGCACAAAGAGGTGAACTTCTAAAGTGCCTCAAAAATCGTAGTACATTTGTAACGAAAAAAGTTTAACAATCATTTAAAAAATAACTTCTCCGTTATGCGTTTCAATAACAAAGTAAACAGAGTCGTTGCCTCGGCCGACAAATTCTTCAGTCCCGCAGGGGATTCCACTTATGTGCCGGATTAATCCCCCAAAAATGCTGCGGGATCCCGCGGTATTGCATTCCCTATTCCTAACTGATAATATTCACACACTTTCCAAGCGAACCGATCCTTAATTTATATTCGTTCGGCCACATGTATATCTCTGGGCCCATCCCATGATCCCTGCAGTTTGTTTACATCCGTACAGTTGTGGTGGTACTTTAGGGGAGTGTCAAAATGATGGCCTATTAGGTCAAAGTTAAGTGTTTTAGTTTTTGTAACGTTGATTTCCATTGCATTATTGGTGGAGCAATATTTTAGTATATTTAAATCATATTCGATATTTTGCCTAATTGTTTCCCATTGGTCTGATGCATATAGGAAAGCTACGTTGTTTGCGAAGGCATAATAATTTGTCCCCGGAATGGTTGAAGTAGTAGATCATTAATAAAAATGGTAAACAGGTCCGCCGAGAGTACCGAACCTTGTGGTATTCCTAGACTCTCTGTGCTTAATTTGTTGTTGTTGTTGATCTTGACTGGCTGGACTTGTTTATTTAAAAATGACGACCAATGAAACCAATTTAACGCAGACCCTCCCCTCTGATTCCGGCAGACTCTAGCTTTTCGATCAATATCTCATGATTTACTAGGTCATAGGTCTGTTTGAAGTCGATAAATAGCCCCGATACTTTTTTGTTGTCATTCTTGTTGCTGTAGACTCCATTCATAAGCTCTGCTATTGCCTCTTCCGTGCTTTTGACTTTCTTGAATCCAAAGTGTCGCTTGCAGAAAAATTGTTTTATTGTCAAGGAATTGTATAAGCCTTTTCCTCATCGTTTTTTCGAAGATTTTTGCAAAGATAGCAGGGCTACCGGTCTATACCTATACTGTTCAACTGATTCGGGATTGCCCTTCTTAAAAATTGGTACAATTATAGCTCTTTTTTAGTAAGGAAGGGAATGCCACAATGCCCGTCACAAAGCTACTGTTGATTAATAAAGATAGGGGATCTGAGATTGTGGAGTGAATTTGTTTGATAAGTTTGCTGTTGAAATGGTCGAATCCTGAGGATTTTGCATTTGCTTCACCGCTTACAACAGGACAAAAAATATAGAGTTCGTTTGCCTACTGGTAACCGTGGAAGCCCTGGACTGAAGTACTGTGATTGGGGTAACGTTCACGAAATAATTGTTAAATACATTGGCGATATCTGTTGGTTGCTCAAATTCTGTACCGTTCTCACCTATTCTGTTTATATTTTTATGAGATTGCTTCCCCTTATTGGCGCCATTGGCCAGCGGGGTTGTTGCAGTTGTTAAGCAAATCAGAGTGGTACTGGTGCTTCCGGTTATCAATGTCTGAAGAAAGTTTGGTTTTAAATTTGTTGTAGTACGTTCTGAATTGAATGTCGTACGGTTGTTTCTGTAGGAGCTTGTTTCTGGTGCTGATACTGGTTTGTCATCCACGGACTAACTTATTTGGCTTTTACGATTTTTTTACTGCTGTGCGTTGAGGATTTATTTCTTTGTATTTATTTGTGTTTCAACCCAATTTGAGATGGAGTTCAGAACGTTAGTTGCGTTTATTAGCATAATCATTTAGATGAAAATGAACCGCTGCAGAAAAAATGTGACAAACGGGAGAAATCACGTTTATTATCATGAATGGTACAGACCTACTATTGACGAAATGCAAAAAAATGTTTCAAAACCCACTCGTGGATTTTACCGCATAACACAACTGTAAATGATGATAACGCGCAAAATATAAACCATGTATATACAATGATAGCAGCTATCAATTAGCGAAAATCCGAAGTCTCTAGGTGACCAAGGGGCCGATGGAACAGACACACGACGGAAAATCGAGCACATAAGCGTTACCTCAACTTTCTTGTGTTACGCTAAAAAAGCAAATTGCAATGAAAGAGCTTGGAAGCCGACCTCTCTCATTAATTACACACTTCTTTTATCACACACATCTTTAGAACCGAAGGTTCAATGGTTGGCGCCTGCGGCCTTTTGATTACCTACCGCCGAGTTTTATAGTGGAAGCCCGCGCCTTGGCTAACATTGGCACATACACGAGTTAATCCAC